GGCACAAGAGCCCTCCTTCTCTATTGCGTTACCTACACTTATCACCCATCATGGAAGCCTACTTCAAATTGATGGGAGCTCATCTTTTTTCGCAAACGCGGCAGCTGCTGAGCGAATGCTTTTCTGCTATAAAGTGTAGTCTGGGTTTTGGAGTTGTGTGGTTAATTCCAGGAGGTTGGCAGGTTATGGCTTGTTCCCTTTTTCATCACGGAGATTTAGATTCTGATTCTTTTGCTTTTTATGGCCACGATTGATTGACAAAACGTTGAGCATCAATAATACCACTGATCAAAGGGACGTCTCAGCTCTTTCAATTCAAAATTTTTTTTTCGGTCTATTAATAGTTCCGTTGTTATAGATTTGTGCCCACTCATAAACATTGTCCGTGTTTCAATCGGTTCCAAGTTCGGTAAGGAACACTAATCTATTCAGATGAAGTTTTTTGCTCTCTTTTTCAGATTTGTAAGGACTACGTCACGGAAAAATACTGGGACAAACTTTCGGTGCCAAGCATTCCAATAGTGATGAGAAGGAAAATTTTTGAAACGATGTAAGTCGGTTCTGAAATTCAAAAGTTCGCATTTTTCACAACTTCGTTTCTACTAAATGAGCTTCTCTTGCTTCAGCACAATGCCGCCCCATTCATTCATTGCAATGGACGATTATAATTCGCCAAAAGAAATGGCCGAGCATTTGATTCGATTAGAATCGGACAGGTCAGTTTTGTTTGTACAGAACTGCTTAGCCGTTTACATTTTCCTAATAATGCGATAAAAGCTGATATATTTTCGCATAAACGTAATCTAAAGCAATTGTTTTTATAGGCAAGCATATGCAGAGTATTTTGCATGGAGGAAGGAGGATGGACAGCAGCACCATGGAATGCACCCGGATATCGCAAATGGGTATTGTCGGTTTTATATGCGAACGCCTCGGGGAGAGAATCAAGAGCCTAAAGTGGTTTGTGTGACAGATTTCCCAAGTTTCTTTGTTTGGGTAGACAGCTGGAACCATCGCGACCAACGACGAGGTCTCATTTCATCCTTTGTCTCTGTCCGTGGACGCTTGCATCTTTCTACGCAGGGGTTGAAATTTGCTGTCGTGACGCCACGATGCGTCCGTCATCGCCGTAGGCGGGGCCACAAAAATGGTATAAAAGCCATCCATTAGCCTGCCAGGGGCTCGCTCTTCGTTTCTCTCTCTCTCGGCTACCGGCCGACCCCGGCTCCACTGACAGCCCATTGCACCCGACACAGGTCACTGAAGGAAATACATCTACCAAACCAAGGGTCCGTGCGACGCCTGAGCGTGAGTGAGATTAACGTAACGGTAGTGAAGATTCATGACAATAAAGAAAGATTCATGGCAATAAAGATTCAAGGTGCAAACTGTTAGTGGACAGCGGTATCCTAAAGTCACAAGACTTTAGTCATGGTGCATCGGCCGGGAAAAAATTTACTCGATCTCCTTACATGATCTCATTAGCGAGCTTCGATCATGATCTCATTAGCGAGCTTCGATTACTTTCGTTCGCATAATATTTTTGTAGTAATTCCCTCATAATTCCACGATCCTCAATTCGATCTCAGAATTGCTCACGTACTCTTGTCTTCATTGTCAAAAAGATTCAAGTTCAACGATCGTTGTAAGTCCACCCGAAATCGCGCGCTAAATCCTCACAAAATGATTTTGGCTACTTAGTGTGCCTAGAGCTAACTCCTCGAATAAAGAGTTTAGGGATGGCGACCTGAAGTAAACGCCTAGAGCTAACTCCTCGAAATAAAGAGTTTAGGGATGGCGACCTGAAGTAAACGCCTAGAGCTAACTCCTCGAAATAAAGAGTTTAGGGATGGCGACCTGAAGTAAACGCCTAGAGCTAACCTCCTCGAAACAAAGAGGTGTAGGGTAGACCAACCGAAATAAAGTTCATGGCGATAACAGAGGATCCTCAAAATATCGAAACACTCACACCTCAATGAAAAAATCTGAAATCGATAATGAGAAGCTTACAACGGTTCCCCTACAGTGGGGAAAAGTAATAAATTCGAAAAAGAAAACATTACGAACGAAAATAGTTGGACGTCAAACATGTGCAACAAAACGTTTTGCTGTATCCCATTTCGAAATCAACCCATTACAGTATCCGACGACAGACTACCGGCCAACAACAGAAATGCCACGCCCACTCGGCTCCTCCCCCTCCAAAACGTATATAAGTCCAATCGAGCATAGCCAGTCATTCATAACCGTCCATGTCGGTCGAAGCCTCTGCATTCTCCCTGAAGGGAGCAAAGCAGCAACTTACGCGTATCCTCAACGAAATCCAACATTTGCTTGAAGATGCCGAGACTTTCAAAGAACCCTGGCAGTATCCAGCGGATGCAAACGATATATTCAGATATATTATTGCGAACAGAACCAAAATCCGACATATAGCAGACGCACTCCTACAGAAAGAACAATCACTTCAGATATCTTACACGAATTTCACAAATATCATTGACAACATCAAACGCGAAAACCCCGATCAGGGGAAGGAATTAGAATCCAACTTTGATGCATATTGGGAAGAGCGTAGAGGTAATTCAATCATCGATACCAGCGCACGCATGCGCCAAAAATTAGAACAGAGAATCGTAGAGTTAGATTGTCAAGAAAGTGCAACGAAATTGGATATTTTGCAAATCAGCTCGAGTCGCAGAGCCAATGCATCAAGTACTGAAACCCAGCCGAACGCTTACGATAACAAATTCGTAATTCTGGAATCATCCACAAATGCAGGGGCATCAGCAGCCAACCCGAATCCGATGTCTCCATATGAGCCACCAGCAGAGACTATGCAAAATCAGTTCCATTTGCTGCGTAGGCTGCATGGCAGAGAACTTCAGTTACCAGATTTTCATGGAGACACTACAGAATTCGAAGCCTTTTGGGAGCTTTTCGAGGAATTAGTTCATAAACAGCCTTATACCAAACTCGAAAAACTTTCAATATTGCTCAGCTGCTGCAAAGACGATGCCGCTAGGGCTCTTAGGATGATACCACGCAATGGTGATTCATACGAACTTGCAGTAGAACAACTCAAGTCCCAATATCATGACCCCAGACAGGCGAAAGCAATCCTCTTGCGAAAGCTCCACTCGATCGCTGCTTCTACAGATGAACCACGTCAGCTACAGAATACACTGAACGACATCCTCGCAATCGTCGCGGAGATGAGAAAACAGGGAGAAGCTGTGGACAACACAAGCCTCCTGCATACAATTCTCAGCAAGTTTTCATATAAAATCCAAGAGGAAGTGGCAAAACGAGAATACGACTCTAAGACAGTGTGGACGATGACAGACCTCCTTCAAAATCTGGAAACAGTTGTCCGGCGTAGAGTTCACCTTTCATTCCGAAAAATACAACCTCCGAAGGGAACTAACGCTGTATACACTGTACAATCGTCTCGTAATACAATAGTGTGTACAGGCTGTAAAGGCAATCATCGATTTATCAACTGCTCAAGATATCCCATGCCAGCGGACAAAATCAGACGTCTCAAACAAGTTGAAAGCCTGCTGGATTTGTTTCAGCCAGCGCCATAATAGCTTCGATTGCAATAGAAGAAGATGTACCCTATGCAATGGTCCTCACCACCCCTTGATATGTCCGAAGAAATATGGAAGTACATATCGTTCCTTTTCTTCAAACAAGGACCAACGCTTGGACATTGAACCGCGATACCGCTCACAATCACAGCATAGGTCGCGCAACTATCAACGGTACAACTCACGAACCCCCAATCGGAATTCCCACAGGCAGTCAATATCCCATTCACCAATCGGTTCCACATCTCCGAGTCATGTTCAAGAGCGAAACGCACACGTGCCAAGACCTCATTCTAGAGAAAGTGATCCTCCAAACCAATCAACGGTATGTCGTTCTAATCAGAACAGAAAGGGATCGCCTCACCGCACGTTGTCAAGATCTCCCTCCAACCGGAGCAGAAGAGTTAGCTTTGTTAGCTGTGCATCCACCATTCCTCTTCCTAGCGAGCATAGAGAAAGTTCAGCTGCCTCAATACACGAGAATACGCTTCATTCGGTAGAAGGCACCGAAAATCCAGACGATGACTTGCCACAGGTTGCACGACTTATGACTATCACAGTGATCATTCGAAACGGAGAAACGGGGCAGGATGAGGAAGTAATCGCTCTTCTGGATTCCGCTGCGGACTCGTCTTTCATTGCGAGTTCAACGGTTCAACGACTACACCTGCTGACCCGTCGCGAACAAAGTCTACAAGTCTCAACGTTTGGCGGAAGAGCGGAAAAGATAACTACTAGGAAGGTGGAAGTGCGATTATTCAACAACCGAGGGGAATTTATTGATGTCAATCTATTTACCAAGCCAACTCTCACTGCTCAGCTTTCTCTTGAACCACTGTCATCAGAAGACCTAGCATACATCCACACCCGACTCGGTATCACGAACTTCACCGACAAGCAGAAAGATGTCCTCCCAGAACTTCTGCTGGGAATCGATTACTTCAATATAATTGTGAACTCCTTTGAACCAGCTGTCCAACTGCCTTCTGGCCTATTCTTGCAGTATACCCTTTTTGGGCCCGTCATATCGGGAGCCACGGTGAGGCAGGTCAATACATCTATTCGGAAGCCCGTTACAGCCATCTCCGCGGTTCTCCACAATGCCACTGACGTCGATATTTCGAGCATAATGAAACTGGAGACCATAGGAATATGCGACAATCCTTCCGACCAACAAGAGAACGAAAGAGTTATCAAGACCTTCTACGACACAGTTCAAATACGTGATAATAAAATCTTCGTCCAGTTCCCATGGAAAGCTAATAAGCACCTTCTCGCGGATAACTATGGGACTGCACTTGGACGTCTCCACCAACTGTACAGAACATGGAATGACAAGCCCTCAAAATGGCTCCAGTACTGCGGAATCATAGAAGATCACATTAAACGAGGAATTGTTGAAGACGTTCAAGTATTCGAAAAGGGTAAGCATCCGAGATATTATATGCCACATCAAGCGGTCTTTAAGCCTGACAGCCATACGACCAAATGTAGAATCGTCTTTGACGCTTCGTCGAAACGTAATGGAGAATTGAGCCTTAACGATGTGATACATCAGGGACCCTTGCTTCTTCCTAATCTATGTGGTATATTGCTCCGTTGCCGCATGGGCCACAAACTGCTCACTGCCGACGTTGAAAAAGCATTTCATATGATTTACTTGCAGGAGTGTGATCGTGACGCAGTACGTTTTCTATGGCTCAAGAATACGAACGCTCCCCCGACCCCGGACAATTTGCGAATCCTTAGATTCAAACGCTTAGCTTTCGGCATCAATACATCTCCTTACTTGCTAGGCATGTCTATCAAACACGCCTTAGATCAGCAAAAGGGGCAGTCCCTTTGTAAAGAAATCCAACGTAACCTCTACGTTGATAACGTTTTCTTGACCGCCGAGAATTCCAGCGAACTCATTAGAAAGTATCGCGAAAGCAAACAACTATTTCAAAATATGTCGATGAACCTTAGAGAGTATATTACTAATGATGAGGATTGCAACAAAACAATCGACACGGTAGACCTTTCTAAGCAGAGCTCGTACAAAATTCTTGGTCAAAGCTGGAATCCTACGAGTGACGAATTCGTACTTCAATCCAAACTGATTTACGCACGGCACCCTACTAAACGCAGAATTCTTCAACAAGTGCATGCAACATTTGACCCTCTGGGTCTTCTGATTCCCTTGTTCACTCCCGCTAAGATTTTCCTTCAAGAGCTTTGGAGAAAAGAATACGATTGGGATACACCTCTATCGACAGTGGATGAAATGAAATGGAAAACAATTTGTGCAAGGACTGAAGGCTTTGAGAAAAGGGTGCCGAGAGAATTGTCCTCGCCTAAGTTCACTATCGAGCACACATTACAGACCTTTGTAGACGCCTCATCCCACTCCATTGCAGCTTGTGTATATCTCAGATCACGCACTTCCGAGGGACGATTTTATTCAAACCTGATAATAGCTCGACATAGGCTCACACCAGCAAAACAGTTGAATTCCAATCCTGAGATCACGATCCCCAAACTCGAACTTGTCGCTCTGCAAATAGGTATGCAACTAACAAAATTCATATGCGACGAAATAGATTTGGCAATTTCGCGAGTCATTGTACATTCAGATTCCCAAATAGCTCTTGGCTGGGTTCATTCCGAGAAATCGAAAGGTGTATTCATTCAGAATAGAACATTGAAAGTGCGATCCATACACTCCTACCTTAGTGAAAAGGGTATAGTGTGCAATTTCAACTACATCTCATCCGATGAAAATCCAGCCGATTGCGCCACTCGTGGTCTATCTGGAGAAGAACTGTTAAATCACTCGTGGTGGAAGGGCCCACCTTTCTTGATGAAGGAAGAATCTGCATGGACCCAGTCGGTGACATACCGTCCGACAGAACGAATTCACGCAGAGCACCGTCACGGTGATACTTCAGAATGCTCGAACGGGGCTCTCATTTGCTCGACACTCCAAACAAGCACTATAGAATACTCGATAGAATGGCCTTACGAAAGGCTATCATCACTACGTAAAGCTCTCCGATCTATGGCCCTCGTGCTCAAGTTCGTCAAACTAAAGCTAGTGAACTGCCTTCCAAAGGCAAGACAAGACGAAGTCCTAAATTCGATACCTGAGCTCCAACACATTTCAACATTCAAACCTTTAACTACTATCCAGGCTCAAGACACTGGAGCAGCTGAAAGCGTATGCATAAAGCAAGCACAGCGCACGATCAACTCTTCGAAACTCCAACATCTCAACATTTCGAAAGATTCCAACGGATTAATGCGCTGTTATGGAAGGCTCACACATTCATCGTTACCTTTACACACCATCAATCCTATACTATTGCCTCCCACTCACAAATACACAACCTTACTTATACGCGACACTCACGAAAGATTAGGTCATCAAGGGGTAAACTCGACCCTAGCCAATCTGCGACTTAGGTTCTGGATACCTAAAGGCAGGCAGGTAGTCCGCAAAACGCTGAGGCTATGTTCCTCATGCAAAAGGTGGAATTCGAGAGCATACCACTACCCAGACTCCCCTGCGCTCCCTCGCTCTCGAGCCACCCCATCGCGAGTATTCGAGAGCGTAGGAGTGGACCTGGCAGGTCCTTTCCTCATCATCGAAAACGAGTGTTCGCAAAAGCGATGGGTGTGTCTCTTTACCTGTATGAGCACAAGAGCCGTACACCTGGAAGTGTTGCAAGGGTTGAGCGGCGAGTGTTTTATAAATTGCATGAGACGATTCGCAGCGAGGCGTGGAAGACCACGAACGGTCATATCCGATAACGCGACCAACTTCAAAATGGGGCATCAAATGATCATCCAGAACGAGAAAGAGTGTCTTCAAAATATCTTTGCAACAAACATCCTGAACGGATTTCTCGCAAATGAAACCATAACGTGGAAATTCATTACGCCCCTTTCCCCCTGGAAAGGAGGATTTTATGAGCGAATGATCGGCATATTCAAGGCATGTATGAGGAAGACAATGGGCAGGCGAAGACTTCCATCTGAGGATTTTTACACGCTCGTCACCGAAGTTGAAGCAATGGTCAACTCAAGACCACTAGCTTATGCAGGTAGCTCCATCGAGGATTCCATGGTGTTGCGTCCCATCGACTTTCTCATACCAAAAGCTCAGCCATCCTTACTTTTACCATCACATAGGGACACGGATGGCGATGATAAAAACTACTTGCCAACAATGTCAACGAAAGAGGAGGCTTTGGAGCGCTTGAACGAGACAACAAAATATCTATCACGATTATGGAGAGCGTGGTTGGAGCAGTACCTACTAGAATTGCGTAGCTTCCATCAGAACCGAATTCGTCAACGTCAGTTTACCAGAATGCAGCCTAGGATAGGAGAAGTAGTGCTAATCATGGATACAAACACGGACCGAGGGCAATGGCCATTGGCAGTGGTAACAGCACTCAAGAGGGACCCCGACGGCGAGGTGCGAGAAGCAACGCTCCGCACAGTGCATCGAGATACCACTAATCGATCGATAAATATGCTCGTTCCTCTCGAGTTAGATGATGAAGAAGGCTTATCACAACAAACCAAGCGCGTAGTCTATGAAGATGAAAATGAAACGGCTAATAATTCAGCGAATGAATGGCCATCCCCAAATGAAGAGGAATCCGTAGTGGACGATGTATGGCACAGGAGACCAGTGCTCCCTCGGAAAGCGAAACAAGAATGTGCGCTACGCTCAAGTCGTTTTGTCTCACAAAGAGAATTCAAAGCACACGCTTCTCCTTTCGCCTCTATCCTGGCATGCGTGGCTGACCGCAGCAACATTTTTTTGTTTTCTCGGCGTCTCGCTCGCATCCCACCATCACGGCGTCTCGGCGCATTGCGTTCGAGGAGGAGTACACGTCATCGGCTTGGAAACCACAGAGAAAATAGAAGTTTGCGGAAATGACCATTGCTTGGAAATAGTAAGTCCTGAAACTAACTTTACGATCCAATTCCCTGCGGAAGTAGTGCTCCATCATCACATTGTGACATTAAAGAGTAGACAAGGAAACGCAACAAACACAGTTCAGATCAGCTGCGAACCGAGTCCTTTCTGCGAGCAAATAGCATGCTCCTTTTGTTCAACAATGATTTCCAACCCTCACTGCTGGCCTCGCATAGCAATCATGGCCACATCGATACTGCTATACGCCATTGTGATGACCGTGGCAATAACCTTCCTCTGCATAAGGAAGGCTCTGAAACTCACAAAGAAGGGCTGCGGGTGTATGATGAACTTGTTAAAGTACACTGTTTATCGGCTTTATCGGCTAACAGTAGGCTCAACGCATAGCGATGCGGCCGAAATGCCACTCATAGAGCTGAATACTCGAGTAGATCGTTGGCGACCTTCATCCATTATAAGGATACTTGCGGTTTGTTTCACCCTAAGTGCGATTTTACCGACAACCAGACAATGTCAACAAACCATTGTTTTGGAATCATCTGTAATACAATGCGATCGAAGCACTAAAATATGCATTCAAGAGAAAAACGTCGTAGTGAAACTCAATCCGCTCCAACCTGAAGTTTGCCTCCAAACGAAGTTTAACAATCATACATTCAGTCAGATGAAAATCGTCTTAGAAAAAATACTGGCGCGGTGCAACAAAGAAACTCTTTTTTACACGCAGAATACAGTGACGAGGGTACAACATAGCAAACGCTGCCCACTCATGGGTTCATGCAAGGGCTCAAAGTGTGCAAAAATTACGCCTGATACGCTTGTTCCTGAACTCGAACTCGCAAATAATTACAGCGGTATTACCTACTGTACTGAATCATGTGGCGGCCTGGGATGTTCTTGCGGGTTACCATCTTCCGGCTGTCTTTTCTATCGAATTTATCACCAGCCGCTCGACGATGAGATTTATGAGGTATACCACTGCCCAACATGGTCGTTCAGTGCATTAGTCAGTATTGAAAAACGATCAGTAAACAAGCTGCCACGACTCTATAAGCTGGAACTGAAAGAAAATATTCAAGAATCCCACGCCGACACGAAATTACAATTGACAGCCTTATATGTCCATCCGCTCAGCCTCATGAATTCACGGTTCATCAAAAGTTCTCACTCTACGGCTATCCTTGACCCTCAAAGTCAGTTTCACTTTGCTTGTGTGAGCCACATCAGCAACTCCACTGATAAACTTTCTGACTGTGCTACTACCAATAGCTGTACCTGCCATCCAGCGGAGGACGAAATTTCTTGCTTCTGTGAAGACCAGCAGATCACTTCGCTTTTCGAGCTCAGGCGGACTCTACCCATCACTCTCCCCAGCGCGACCATTAATCCATCCGAAGCATATAGCGTTACGATCGCTACCAAGGCAGCCAATGCAGAGCTAGCTCTATCAATTAGTTCAAAAGTGAAAAATCTCACCATGCTTGTCGACACGTTCGAGTGCTCCATCACAGTGACTGAATTGCAAGGTTGCTACAATTGCATAGCAGGAGCAACAGCCAGATTGACATGCGCAGCATCAATACCACACGGAATCGCCGACGTGCAATGCAACACACAGTCTTTCATCATAACGTGTACAAGGGAAGGTTACCATAACTCAGTCCGAATCTACGCACAGCTTGCTCAGTTCCACCAAGTTTGTAAGGCGAAGTGCGGTATCAAGAACTATATTTTCGAAATAAAGGGCATACTCCATTACATCAATCCCATCAATCCAATCCATTCCGTAGGTAAACTTCTTGGAGGAAAAGACGAATACGACCTGGACAGTTTTTCCCTCCCAGACATTTGGCATATCTTCAACAACTTCAAAAAATACATCCTTTTTTCTTTCCTGGCGTTTCAGTACAACAATTGCAGCTATTGTTATCTCACTTGGGATCTCAGGCGTGATTTCACTCAGAATTCTATGCCTTTCCAATAGGAAAATCCATGACAGAAGGAATATCACGTCTCTCATGCCCCTCCCACTGCGTCTGCCACTGATGGTACTGTACATACTAAGCTATATAAGCCGGCTTCTTTTCAGAATTCCAGTTCTCGTGACACGACAAGTTCTTCGACTTCTTATCTAGTTCAGCTCAACATATCTGCATTCCATTTCCATCATTGTTATTCGAATAAGCCATGTATTCAAAATCTACGTTCATAGCGCATTTATCTAATCGTTCTCTAGGTGAACCATATATTGTAGTGAAACCTTGCATTTCAGAATGTCTAACGATGGCGAGCAACAGCCACGCACTAATGAGCCATCCGACTCGCCTGCACAACCGCTTCCATCACCGAATCCAGTCTCGTTCGATTTCTCTTCTACCATAGCTCCGGAAAACCCGCAACTCGAGCCGCTGCAACCGTATCAACAATCGAATCAATGGTATGGACCGCAACCGAACTATCCACCAATCAATCAATGGTATGGAGCTCAGCCTTGTTGTCCTTCCTACGTCGAACTTGCGCAATCGGTGAATGGTCTAGAGTCTGCGGTGCAGGGACTTGGGAAACAGGTAGAAAAGCTTACTCGAGAAATGCAAATTCGAAATACGCGTTTGCTCAAACGAAGAGCGACTTCCGTAGAACAATCCAGCGCACCAGCCGCGAAAAAACCGAAAACGCCTCCACTTGCGGTAGGTTCTACATTCACAAATGATTCACCATCGGTTTCGCATAATACGCTGACTACTCGGGTATCACCAAAGCCCCCGCGCACTCCACCCAACACCCCAACATCGCAGCAGCCGCAGCTGCCCTGCTCGCCTGCGTGCAAACCTTACCCGCCGACATGCGGGCCTTGCTCGCCTGCGCGCAGGACCTGCTCGCCTGCGTGCAAAAAATCACACCCGCAAAATGGTCAGCCCAATTCTGATTGCATATTTTGTGGGGAAAGGCATTGGGCCAGCAAATGCCACATCTATCCAACCTTAACAACACGTCGAGATCGTCTAGTACAGAAAAGTCGCTGCGAACGCTGTCTTGGGCCTACTTCTACTCACTTAACGACTTCTTGCCAGCCCAAAACCCACTGTTTCTTCTGCCGTTTGGCCAACAGACTGGAAGATATGTCAAAACATCACACATGTCTTTGCCCCTATATGTTCCGCCTGTAGGCGCAATGAGCCTTTCTGAAGACACGTCGCACCAACAAATCGAACGATAACCGAATTACAATTTTGAGCATTGACAACTAAATTTGAATAGATAGCGATCATCACTCTACCGATTGGCATAAAACCAGATGCATTTCGCAAACTCATTAGCGCAACTCACGATTAGCCCGATCGCCTAGCGTCACATAGCTTTGTAGCGACAATACGCTATCAATATGGCAAGCCTTCAACCATCAAGCTCCAACATCCTTACTCTATCCCTTGACATGGGAGCGTCGATACATCCCTTTGGAACAGTTAAATTATACTTCCAGCACTGGGGACACAGCTCACGCAGATTCACCGAGACAACGTAGCTTCCGGCACACCCGTGCCCGCCACACTGCTGGTTTTCTATGGAAGTCGCCTCAACACTGACTCCTTGATTAAACTTTTCGATTTCATTTTATTGTATTTTGTCATTTTATTCTATGTCGGTCGATTGCAGTAGAATTTAGTGACGGTTGATTATGGGACATTATTTGGTCAAGTATCATATTTGTTTGAACACTGTAGTTTGAGTATTTTGGCAAGGGCGTCGCACGAACATTCCTAGTAAATGCATCTTCATCACCCCTGGCAATGGCGGTATATTACTACTCCTGTTCGGCCTACTTTCCTCGGCCCGCAGTGTCGTGACGCCACGATGCGTCCGTCATCGCCGTAGGCGGGGCCACAAAAATGGTATAAAAGCCATCCATTAGCCTGCCGGGGGCTCGCTCTTCGTTTCTCTCTCTCTCGGCTACCGGCCGACCCCTGCTCCACTGACAGCCCATTGCACCCGATACAGGTCACTGAAGGAAATTCATCTACCAAACCAAGGGTCCGTGCGACGTCTGAGCGTGAGTGAGATTAACGTAACGGTAGTGAAGATTCATGACAATAAAGAAAGATTCATGGCAATAAAGATTCAAGGTGCAAACTGTTAGTGGACAGCGGTATCCTAAAGTCACAAGACTTTAGTCATGGTGCATCGGCCGGGAAAAAATTTACTCGATCTCCTTACATGATCTCATTAGCGAGCTTCGATCATGATCTCATTAGCGAGCTTCGATTACTTTCGTTCGCATAATATTTTTGTAGTAATTCCCTCATAATTCCACGATCCTCAATTCGATCTCAGAATTGCTCACGTACTCTTGTCTTCATTGTCAAAAAGATTCAAGTTCAACGATCGTTGTAAGTCCACCCGAAATCGCGCGCTAAATCCTCACAAAATGATTTTGGCTACTTAGTGTGCCTAGAGCTAACTCCTCGAATAAAGAGTTTAGGGATGGC